AAAAGATATTATTTGTTTGGCTATATTTTCTCCTGTACCATTATTAAGTGGAGTATATTGCAAAAAAAATTCACTAATTTTTATGGTGTCCAAGTTTAATATTCTGATAACCAATGACATTTGCTGCTGATTTGAGATATCAGTTGTTTCATCTGCAAGTACAGAGAAAAAGGTAGGTTCAACAATTTTAATCAATTTTTCAACAATAAGATTATTACATATGTTTATAATTTCATTTTGTATATCGGGAGATATATATGTGGCATTATTAGCCACATTATAAAATATCAACTTGGTTTCATCACCACCTAGATGACAATATAATTTGAGCAACTCTTTGAAGTTACCCTTATTAACTGATGTATCAGTAGCGTACGCAGGAATTTGGGGTGGGGGGAGGATAATTAAAATTTTTTTAAATAAAATTATTGTTATTTAAAAATATCAAGCATACATTTATTAGGACTAATAACTATTTCTAATATACAAATTTAAATTAATATGAATTATAAAAAATTAAATATATAAACCGATATATAAAAATAAATTTGATTTAAAAAATATTAAACGAATATAACCGGCGGCATATAAATACTTTAAATAAATCTGAATTATAAAATATTAAGTGGATATAACCAGGATATGATGACTATAAAATAAATATTCCACAATAGAAATTTAAATTTTTTTGAGCTTTTAAAATTTATATATTTATAAAGTATAAAAAATCTAAATGTTGGAAATATGAATAATTATATTTTTTATGTAAAAGAAAAATATATAAGACATTAAAAAATGATAGCACAAAAAATATTATAGAAACATTATATTTTTATCAGTGACCTGCAGAGGTACCATTTGCACGGCCCGGCCCGGATATTTAAAAAAAAATTTTTACGGCCCGGCCCGGATATTTTTAAAAAAAAATTTTTACGGCCGGCCCGGCCCGGATTTAAAAATTTCAGGCCCGGCTCGGAATTTTTAAAAATGATCTGGTATATACAAAAATTCACCTATGAGGTATTTTACCATATTTTTCAGTGAGTATTATCGCTTATTATTTAAAAAATGCATGTAAAAAGCTAATATTTGGAGAATATTATATTGAATTTATAAAAATTATAAAACAGTTATTTATAAAAATGGATATTTTGAGCATACTATATTTTATATTGCATTTATAAAAATAAAACTAATATTCATAAAAATGGTAATAATATTTGTCATATACTATATTTTATATTACATTTAAAAAAAATTAAACTAATATTTAATTTATAAAAATGGAAAATATTTTGAGAATATAATATTGTATTTAATTTACTATTTAATTTATAAAATAAAAATAAATCGCTATTTAAAAAAATGCATGTATAATAAATAGTATTTTGAAAATATAATCTAATTGCACAATATTAATATAATTTATTTTATAATATAAATTTTTAACAAAAGAAGATAATTGTATTATATAATATTGTAAAAAATAATGAAAAATGTTGGATTAAAAACTTTCATGACTCAAGGTAAATAATAAATGCAATAAATATTTGACAGTTTGCAAAGTAAAAAACCAGCATGATTGACAAAACCCTATACTCAAGAAAGATATTAAAAATTCACAAATTATCATGAAGAAAGAGAAGCATATCTACCTTTTCAGGTTGAAGATTACTTCTTCTTTCTTCAAGAATTCTCCCAGTAGTGGAAAAATTCCGCTCACAGCTTGCACTTAAAGCAGGAATTGCCAATTTTGCTAAAATTGGAAATTCGCTTTGATGAGCCGCCCACCACTCTAACAAATTATCCACCTTAAATGTTTTATCTATTATTTATGTAATTATAATATTCATCATCGGGTATTGACATATTACCAGAATTACCATCGCCCCATTTGTCATAAAACGATTCAGTTTGATTAACAACAGTCGTAATTTGACTGGTCGATGGTATTTCATTTACTTCCTGAGCCTCTTGTAATTTAATATAATCTTTTATATAGTTTTCCGTCATTTTGCGATCTGTCCCTGACTACATACGTAATTGCTTGAATTTGGGACAGAGAAAAAGAGAAATAAAATGATACTTGTGTAAAACAAATTTTTCTATTAAAAAATGCTTTATATTTAGTAAAATCAATTACAAACTTTAAGAAGTGATAATCCTTTATTTGATTGTTTTGGTAAAATATATTCTAAAAATTTAGATATGAATTATAAAAAAATATATTAATAATACTTGAATATTGGGACTTATTTAAGATATTTTTTTATTTGATTGTTTTGGTAAAATATGTTGTAAAAATTTAGATATGAATTATAAAAAAATATATTAATACTTAAATTTGCAGGAAATTAATAATTAGATCGATCTGTGGGTTGTTAGGTAGTGTCAACCATCACCCAATATTATATTAATCATAACTATAATATAATATAATCTTATAACCATTAACTCAGAATGTAAAAATTTTTATAAAAAATATTAAGGCCCGGCCCGGGTTTAACAATCTTAAGCCCGGCCCGGATATATTAAAAAAAAAATTTTTTAGGCCCGGCCCGGATATGTTTAAAAAAAATTTTTTTAGGCCCGGCCCGGGTATATTTAAAAAATTTAAAATACGGCCCGGGCCGGGTTTAGGGCCGGGCCTGCAGGTCTCTGATTTTTATTATGTAAAATCCAATCTTCGTTGGGAGGGAGCTAATTTTTCAATTATATCATCCGTGTTTGGCGTCAAATGCCTATGAATATTAAAAAGGGCCAGACCATTCAACCTACTTTCAGAAGTTGTACTTCTTAGGTACGTTTTTAATCTTCTTAAAGAAGAGAATGTTCTCTCATTAGTTGCAGTACTAATGGGAAGAGTTGCTAATATATATAATAATTTCAATAAATTGGGAAAATAATCTAAAAGAGGTTTGAAATGATGCAAAGCATCATAGCATTTTTTGGGACTATATCAACCATAGTTAATCTTTTATACCATAGTTGGCATTCAGCTAATAAAGCATCATGAGATACATTAATGTCTTCATGATAAAAATCTTCCAAATATTTTATTTTTTTTCTATCACCATCTGAAAAAGGTTCAGAGGGCTTTTGCGGAATTAATATCTGCAGATTGATAAGTGTTTCTTGATAAATTAAAAACCTTTCATTTACTTGGGTTATAAATGTATCCAAAAGAGGTATAAAGACATTTATTTTATAATATTCTTCTATTGACCCTATATTAATATTTGGACGATAAGTTTGCCTTACTGTAAGTCGAGGGAGACAAATATTGAACTCGTATAGCTCTGCTTTTGATTCAACATTAATATATAAAATATGAAATTCCTCATCAGCATTAGCTCTAATTTCTTTAATTTCTAATAAAATTGTCTCTGCTATTCTCATCATCTCAATCAAATCAATTTCAGGTTTTTGAAAAGTATTACATAAAATAGTTGTATAATTAAATAATTTATTAATACATTCTAATGCGAAAAAAAAATTTGGTATAAATATTGAATCCAGTAACTTGCTTGCTTCTGTAGAAATATCTTTTTCAGACATTGTGATATTTCTATAAGAGCATTAATACTCGGCTCTTCTAACTCGATAAAAGCTGTTACTGCTTGATGTCGTAGACTCCATCTTGTTGGACAAGCTTTTTGCAATTTTTTTCTCCTTGTTGGGCAAGGAGTTTCAGATATAATTCTGTTCAAAATATTTTGACGCTTGGGTATCTAAACATCTCATAAATGCTAGATATTTTACCTGATATAAATATAAAAAATTTAATTTAATAATTAAAAACCTAAGCAATTTGATATCAATGGTAAAGAACATGAATCCGATATTGCTAATTTGAGTGAATGGGCAGCACAGTGGACATATATAGCTGTTGGGCCTATTTTTTAAATAAATGCCTGAAGCCCATTGAATTGTCCACTCATTGCACGTGCTCCATCATACCCTTGCCCACGTATTATATTTATATTTAGCTATATTTTTTAAAATAATTATATAATAAGATTAATTATTACTTTTAATTTTTTAAGATTCACAAATATTACATCAGCTAAAGCAGACCCAGTCATGCTTGAAACAGGAATAAATTGGAGAAACATTTCCTTGATAATGTTTTTATGAGTATCTACATATCGCGCACACAACGACATCTGATCAATGCCAGCAATGTCCGTGGTCTCATCTGCCAAAATTGAGAAGCATGGGGCAGAATTGATTTCAACAATCAATTTTTCTAAAATGATATTGTTGCAAATATCAATTATCTCATTTTATATCCTAGGGCTGAGATAAGTAGCATTTTTATTGGTACTAATGAGGCTCTCCATTAATACAGGATCTCCTAATGCTTTAAATTTTAAAAGTCCACGGAAATTACCTTCGTTATCATTATTATTAAAATTTAAGCTTCCTGAATCCTTGTGGCTACGAATTGCTAGGCCTTGCAAGCCACAATATAAAATAGCCTCAATAGTTAGTTTTATCTTGCCTCTATTTTCTTTTGCAATTTTAACCCTATTTTTATAAATTATTGATGAAATGGGAATCATATCCCCCTTTTGAATTGATTCTTTTGAGGAAATTATCAGTTCACAGCTTTTGTTTATTAAATTATCATACTATACTTTTTTGCTTTTGGGCATGATTTTCACCTTCAGCGTTTTTTTAAAAAAGTCTAATATCCATGACTAGAAATTTGAAAATTATAATATCGGGAAATCTAAAAATAGTAGATAAATATTACGCCACAAAGAAAACTTGAAAATGAAATTAATTGATAAAGTAAATTAGTAAATGAAAAAGTTAATAATATAAAAATTTAAAAAGAAATAGATATGAATAATTATAATAAAATATAAAAAATAATATTTTTGAAAAATATGCCCGGCATCTGCATTTTGGCTTTGGGGGGGGGGTTCCCCCCCGCCCCAGCTGCTTACGCCAAAGCTATATAATTATAAGACTAAATATTAAAACAAAATTATATATACCTGATGTGGAAGGTAAATTGAAACCTAAAGTATCAAGTTCATTTATATTAATGTCCTCTCCAAGTAATTCAGATATATCTAAAATTATAATGTAACTTATAAAGGAATAAACTATATCACTTTTAGTAGGTGATGATTCTAGATGATCTAGTATAGTTGGTTGTCTATTATCCTTTACTTTTCTGGAATATGTGGGTATTGCTAAGATTTTAAATAAATATAATTTAAATAAGACTAATATTAGAACCTAAAGTATCAAGTTCATTTATATTAATGTCCTCTCCAAGTAATTCAGATATATCTAGAATTATAATGTAACTTATAAAGTAATAAACTATATCACTTGTAGTAGGTGATGATTCTAGATGATCTAGTATTGTTGGTTGTATCCTTTACTTTTCTGGAATATGAGGGTATTGCTAAGATTTTAAATAAATATAATTTAAATAAGACTAATATTAGAACCTAAAGTATCAAGTTCATTTATATTAATGTCCTCTCCAAGTAATTCAGATATATATAGAATTATAATGTAACTTATAAAGTAATAAACTATATCACTTGTAGTAGGTGATGATTCTAGATGATCTAGTATAGTTGATTGTCTATTATTCTTTACTTTTCTGGAGTATGTGGGTATAGCTAAGATCATAAATAATTTTAAATAAGACTAATACCTGACATGAGTGGTAAATTGTAGTCTAGGGTATTAACATTTCCATTTAAATTCTCTGTAGATTTTTAGATATATCTAAAATTTTAATATAAATATTTATAAAATAATTGTTTACATTTATTAGATAGTAATTTGTTGTGACTTAATGTATTTCTTTGTTTGTTATCACCATTTTTTTTAGCCCTTGGTGTAAATATTAATTGAGATATTCCTATAAAAATAACACAATAAATATTAAAATAAAGCATTAGATAACCTTTAAATTCTAAATTGATACAACCTATAATATTTTTTTGACTACTATCATTCTTCTTCAATGTGATACTTGCAAGCTTGTTAACCGATCTTTTTAAAACGATCGAATCCCGATCACGATCTTTTCAAAAAAAGAGGATCGAAATCCAGGATCGACACCATTTTTTCTATTTAAATTTCTGAAGGAAATTTCTGACCGATGCAAAATTAACTAATATATGTTATAAATTTATTGTAATTGAATAATAATATAATATAACCGATACAAAATTAACTAATATAAAAATAAATTAAATATGGTAGAAATTTATTGTAATTGAATAATAAATATAACAATTATAATATATTTATTTATAATTAAAATTAACTTTTAATAATAAATTTTTTTCAATTATCATCATTTAAACATCCGCGTCTTTCATTTAGAACATGTTTAGCTTTACTAAACAAGCGCTCCTTTGATGGCAAAGGTGTATTATATTCAATAAATATTTTTTTAAAATTAATATAAATATTAAAAATATTCATGGAATCATCATTTGAATAAATTTTTTTTAACGGAACAAGCATTTTGTACAGTATTTTTCCCAAAAAAAGGATCAATGTCATCTATACATTCATTTGAGGTATCCGCATATGGTTGTTACTGCATATTTTCCAAATGGGCAACTAATTTTTACCATCATATTTTGTGGCAGATTAATATAAGGCCAATTAAGTTTAAATTTAGGGTAAATCATGGCTGCCAAAATGTTACTGTCTTCATACAGTGAAGGAAATCTATATTATGAAATGATTATTAATTTATTATTAAATAAGTGTTCATTTTATTCATATAAATCAAATAAAGTATCTGCAAAACTTAAACCTTTTAAATTTTGCAGTCAAGTCTGGCACATCATCTGTATGGTATTTATTTATATTTGGATCATGTCATAAATATTGATTAAATGTAAACTTAATATACAAAGAAATTTACAAAGAATTTAATCAAAATATTAGCTTAAAATTCAAATAAACTAATAAATTTTTAATGTCTTTAAAGGCCCATTAATATTTTACTAGATATCAGAGGTTTAGTAGAACTGGCCTCTTAAAAATATTTTACTAAATTTGCCAGATCTTTGCAATTTTTTAATATATTTTGCAGATATCTGATAATATAAAATCATAAAAAAATATTTTTTTATAAAGAATCTGTATCTAGATTCTATTTCTGTAGGACCTGCTCAACTCAGGAATGTAATAAATTAAATTTAAACATGTTGACATTCAGATTATCAAATAAAAAAAATTTAAAAGAATTACTTGTAAATGTCTCTTTAAGTTCGAGGATGATATTTTGGAAGAATATTATCTTCTTACAGAGACGGCATTTGGTGATCATATTATAAGAGTTGCTTTCATCCATTTCACACAAAGTAAAATACTTACGTAATTTCAAAAATGGTAAAAAATTCTCATTCTCACTTATATCTGCTGTTACATCAATAGTAGAAGCAATAGAATCTTCTAAATCTATAATGGACATTTACATTTACCTATTAAAATAAATATTAATATATTAGTATAAATTTATATTAAATAACTTGTAAGAGCTCTAAATCTCGTAAAATTTAGGAAATGAATAAATATATCTATAAAATAAATGGTGGAATGGAAGTTGATAAAATATGAAGATAGATATTTTTTTAAAAAATAATATTTTAATTTAATTTTCAAAATTTTTATTTTATTTATTGCTTTTTAAGTAAAAAATTAATTTTTAAAAAGATCGGGATCGAATTTTAAACAAAATGATCTCGATCTCGATCCTCAATTTAAGTCAGAATCATAAATCTCGTAAAATTGACAAATTTGCGATCGAATCCAGGATCGTCGATCTTTTGATTCGATCTTTTAACAACTCTGGATACTTGATATACCTAAAATTATGATATAAATATTTGAAGGTATATTACTTGTAATAGGTAGAGATTTGAAGTGATCAACTGTATTTAGCTGATTTTTATCATATTTTAATAGAGTATCTAGGTATCTCTAAAATTTAAATGAATACATTTAAATAAGGTCATAAAATACTTGATATGGGTGGTAAATTGTTGCCTATGGTATCAAGTTCATCATTAAAATTCTGATTTTCTATATTAAGTGAGTTGGTGTGTTTATTTTGTTGACTATCATCATTTTTATTAAATGTAATACTTGATATACCTAAAATTATGATATAAATATTTGAAGGTATATTACTTGTAATAGGTAGAGATTTGAAGTGATCAACTGTATTTAGCTGATTTTTATCATATTTTTTAATAGAGTATCTAGGTATCTCTAAAATTTAAATGAATACATTTAAATAAGGTCATAAAATACTTGATATGGGTGGTAAATTGTTGCCTATGGTATCAAGTTCATCATTAAAATTCTGATTTTTTTAAGTGAGTTGGTGTGTTCATTTTGTTGACTATCATCATTTTTATTAAATGTAATACTTGATATACCTAAAATTATGATATAAATATTTGAAGGTTAGATAATATTACTTGTAATAGGTAAAGATTTGAAGTAATCAACTCAGCGTCTACATGAGCGGGAGGGGTAGGAACAGTTCGCATCCTATTTTTTTGAGGGGGTAGGCTGCTTTAATGGGGTTAGGATAAATTTTTTGGGGGGTTATCTATTAAATTTTGAGATGAAATAGGACACAATTTATTGCTGTAAAAATTAATACTTTTACTATAGAATTATTATAATACAATTATTGACCAAATCTATATATTTCAAACAAGCATACACATTGTTTTCCAAATCAGCAAGCTCATAATGCCCAAATAATTAATTCATTGTAAATAATGGAGGTTTTAATTGAATTTATTATATAAAAAATAAATTATTTATATTCACAAAATATCGATAGTTGGTAGTAGAGATAGATTAATTTAAGTTATCCTTACAAATTCTCTGAAAAGAGTATCAATATAATTATAAAGGTAAAAATAATAATAAAGAGACACTGTCGCCGAAGGCGGCGTAATTTTTAAGGGGGTTTGCATTCAGTGAAAATCCTGTCATGTAGACGCTGGATCAACTGTATTTAGCTGATTTTTATCATATTTTTTAATAGAGTATCTAGGTATCTCTAAAATTTAAATGAATACATTTAAATAAGGTCATAAAATACTTGATATGGGTGGTAAATTGTTGCCTATGGTATCAAGTTCATCATTAAAATTCTAATTTTCTATATTAAGTGATTTGGTGTGTTCATTTTGTTGACTATCATCATTTTTATTAAATGTAATACTTGATATACCTAAAATTATGATATAAATATTTGAAGGTAATAGATAATATTACTTGTACTAGTTAGAGATTTGAATTGATCAATAAAATCATTTTCTTCCCTCCTACGTTTGGGTACTTAAAAATGTGAAAATATTTTTTGGTTAGCCAAAATTATTTAAAATAATATATTACCCAAAGTGATTTGTACAGGCAATTTTAATTTAGTCAAAACTTTGGTTAGGTGTTTAATTTTAAATTCTAAAATAAGAATAGTTAGCTATTGATTTTAAATAATATCTTTTATATTAAATGTTATTTTGACCTGGTGTATTTACATCACCCTCATCATTTTCAATAGACCCTATAATGCATAAGATATTAATTATTACACTAGATTAAATATTATTTTTACCTAGTGTATTTAGATCATGATTATCATCTTCAACAGGGTATATATTGCATGAGACATTAGTTGGAAAATTTGTTTCATTGTTTTTCGCTAAAATTAAATAAAAGTATCTATTAGTATATTTTTTTGTTACTTAGATATTTCCTTATATCCATCAATTTGAGTAGAGTTTTGAAAGTTCAGTCATAAAATTTGATCTCTTTAACAATTTCATTTATAAAAATGCAACAAAATATAAAACAAATATATTTTATTAGAAATATAATATTTTCGAACCATATCTTCGATAATATATAATAAATATATTTTTTAAATGCATAAATAATATATTATTATAATTAGTGTTCTTTTTTTTTGACGAACTTTCAACGTGAACGCGTTCCTTTTCTTTGATGAACGCGTTCAATTTTACGTTCGTTCAATTTTAAAAACACTTTTTATTTTTATTTATTTGAAAAATTAATATTAATCCGCATTTTTTAACAAAAAAGTCTTATATTTTTATTTATTTGAAAAATTAATATTTAATCCAATTTTTTAACAAAAAAGTCTTATATTTTTTAATCAGATGTTTTTCCTTTTTCATATTGCAATTAACGTACCATAGTGCTACTGCTAGAGAAGATAAGATTAAAGTTTATTATTTTGAATATTTTATATTTTAATTTAATAGATTAGCATTATTTCATCATCAGATTCTGAAAATCAAAATTCAATATTAGATGAATTAGAATTACCATGGCCCAAATATCAAAAATATTT